TATCAGAGGTCTCAGGAGAGGGAGACAGCACAATGGTGTGACCTTCAGCTAATAAAGCCCACCCTAGAGTCCAAAGAAGCTTGGGGAATATTGACAAAAGTTCATATTTACAACAGCCTGGACCCTTTCCAGATACCATTACCAGTCTAGAGAGCTGCAGCCTCTGTACATACACTCACACAGGCTTTTATTCTGCCTGCTCCTTTCTTTCTTTGTTCCCATGCTGGCAAAAAAAAAAAAAAATTAGTCAGAAAATGGCAATTCTTCTGCTAACAAGGCCCCACCAGCATCTTTTTTAATGAAGAGAGTTATCTGAAATTTCAATTTCAACCTCAGCGCTATCCTCTACTTGAAGGAGATTCAAGGCCTCTTGCAAGGATTCTTGGTGCGTCATCGTGCTCATCAGGAAGAAAGCATATGTGTTTTTGTGGAAAATCTGCTGATTTATTTATAATTCTTTAAACAAAAAGGCAGCCAACATATTGTAAAATGAGAACGTTGTTGGTTTTTTTGCACTGGCAATCAACACAGCCCATCAGAAACACAAACCCAAAGCGTTTTCAGGCAGAAACTGATCCCCCCCAGTCTGCGTTGTGGTTGGCAAAATGACGTTTAGCCCATAACTAGAGTGCACAGGCATGACTGAAATACAAATAATAATAATATTTTAAAAATTGTTCATACAGTGAAAAAAGCCAATTTCAAAACATAAAAACTGTTTGAAGCTGAAGTTTCATTTTTCTGACTCCCAAAATAGTTCCAAAACAAATATATAAAAATAAAGGTTTGGAGGAAATCTGTTTTCAAGGGTAATTTCACTGAAACCAATATTAAATCTCAAAACATTTAATGGAAATAACATCTTCAGTGACAGAACTGTTCTGACCGCACTTTTCAATCCAGCCATGCCAGTGTGCCATTTTTATTTATCTGCCTCATAATTCATCTTTGCCATCCTGAAACTAATCCTGCTGGGGCTCAAAAGGGATCCAAAAACTGGAATAGGTTAGAATTTCTCCCAATAACATCTTCTAAAAGATGCCTCTGTATCGTGGTGGTCTCGTTTCCCGTGCCAGTGTTTAACAGGCAGGAAGAAGGCTGAACAGACCTCTACGAAGACCACACATTTCTCACTTCTGCAGCTTTTCTTTCCAGTGAAGAACCCATTTCCACCCACTGCTACAGTTACATCAGCTACATGGCTCACCAGCAGTTTTCCAGTTCCCTAGTTTTGGCCCAAGCAGGCTTTTTATTCTTTCTCCTCACCCCATCCAGCCACACTCGCTGTCAGAAGAGCCCAGGTGATTGATTACAGCCTGTCTGAATCCAAAGTAGTCAAATTAGATATTAATGTTGTGCTTAATGTGCTCACACAAACAAGGTCATTGGTTGCATCAAGACTAATAGGAGATGACACACACTGGGACTGCACCACCCAGGGTGTTCCTCCATCACCTCAGGACAGAGATGCCATTGCCTCGACTGCAGCCACATTTCCATCACAGCCAAGGCTTCCCACCCTTCATCCTTGTTCCCAAAAGCAGCTGCAAATTGCACTTGTCCTCCCTCTTGGGGTGAGCTACAAAATCAATCAGCAATACTGAAATCAGGAAGTGGTGCAAAGTTTCAGAAGAGAAATAAAAAGAGTCAATAGTGCCATCAGAAAGATAAACCCAAGTTCATCTTGGAAAAATATCAACTAATCCATCTGTGGGGAAGTAACACTGGACCACGATACTCTGCGAGAAAACTGGAGAAGTGAAAGGTATTTGGCTCCTCCAGCAGGAATCTGGAGCTCTGCTTGGAAAGCTGGAGCCCAGTAGGGTAAAATAGCCATTATCAGCCCACGCGAGGTCATGGAGATGCAGAAAAGGCTGCTGAAACAAAGTAAAACACATTTTTCTATGGATAAGAGAAGGCACTACAAATGATAACACTTAATACTTGGAATCAGTGTGCAGGACCATTTCTCTACTCACTGTTCCAAGGATGAGAGGTTACGTCTCCTGGCTGCCACCAGGGCCCCAGCTAAGTGCTTTTCATTGCCTAAACCTTTAAACCAGCATTGTTTTATTTATAATAACAGTGAGTTCCTACTGAGAAGCTCCAGAGACAACTGTGCCTGGCAGTAATTTTATACCTGTTTTCCATGGCAGAACCTCCTGGCTCTCAGGAAACCATGGGGTATTAAGTGTATCCCAGAGGAACAGGCAGATCCAGGACACATCCTCTGCTGTGGTGGATGGGCAACTGTTCCCAATTTCTGCCCTCTTTACTTCCAAACCACAAACACTCAGAAAGTCTTGCTCTTAGGGTATGATTTCAATAATGAATATTGGAGTTAAAAGGCTGAAAAAGCAACCAAGGTCCATTCTGAGAGGGTGTGATAATCCCACCTGTGGCTGTCCCCAACACGCTCCCCTGCACCCTGCCTTTGAGCACAAAAATGGGAGACCTAAATGGTCTGCTCGTGATGCTGCACAACCTGGTGCAAGGCTTCGTCTTCCATGAGTGAAGAGGCAAAAAAAAAAAAAAAAAAAAATCAGGTTCTGAAACCACACAGAATTAAGACTCAGTATCAGCCAAGCTGGCGACTGGATCTTGGGGGCCTGTTTCCCTCTGAATTTCTCCCTGCTACTGTGACGTGCTCACACTGAAAATTTTCCCTTGAGCAACTGCCTGACTAAAATACAGCACACCCTTACCATAAAGCCCTTTGTTAAAACATCTTTGCCATAAAGCTGCAAAACCTTGGCTCCCAAGTACATTAAATCCTTATAAACCTGCCTTCATTTTAACCGCGCAGTATTTCAAAACACAAAGCGCTTCTTCTGAGAGATAGCACTTTAATGAGGAGAGGGGTAAAATATATAAACCAAACCTCATTATAGCATAATTTCCAGGAGACAAGCATGCTGCTATAAAGAGAAGCCATGGAAATTGCACTTCACATAGCTTGAAGATTTAATACTTTTAAAAAGCCACTGCTACTTCCAGCCTTTGGTGGTGGTTTGTTTTGAACATAACAGAAACAAGCAGAATTATGGGTCCACTGTCAGTTATGTATTTTATATTCTGCAAATTGTTGCAAATGGTAGATTCAGCCCTACCACCTGCTCACAGAATGTAATGTGCCAGTAAGAGCCTGACTACAAGTTACTGTTGTATACTATTGGACACTTTTACCTTTAAACCTCTGCATTCTTCAAGGTTGTTGCTTTAAACATGATGGTGTAGCACGGATATGGTAGATCACCCAAACCAGATCCAATTCATACTGGATTGAAAGTGCTTATAATGATACAGCTTGTTCACGTGCTAACAACAAAGCCAAGGAAACCTACCAAAAACCACACTACAAGAAAAATCTAAAGTATGGACACACAAATGAAAGCAATGGATAAAATGCCATTGAATACCACCCATCAGATAAATCAAGGTAACTGGCACACCAAAGGGACTGCAATTAGTTTCCAAAAATGAGAATGCTGTGTTTTTTTTTTTTTAATCTGAAACTCGATTGCTTTCTACAAAATGACAAGTGGATCAACCTCCCTCAGCCAACAAGAAAAATGTTACTGGAAAAAACTGTTCTCCCTAAGAGCAAATTATCTATCAAAGGAGCATCCTGAATTACACTGGTCTACAAGACTTTTAAACTTAATCTAATAAAAAAAATAAGCCATTATTGATTACAGTTCTTCGACATTAGTCTTCCAGTTGTAACTTCTGAAATGAAAGCTTAGCAATTATTAGGTATTTACTACAATCAGTAGAGAAAAATAGTGAAAAAAAGATGAGCATAAAGGCCACCAAAGAAACAACGTACTTTGGAGGAGGGAAACAAAACAAGCAGAAAACCCCAACCCCCCCCAAATAACCCCACCCCGAGCCCAACAACAGCAAGGGGAGATGCACTTCATGGCAGCTTTGACTTGAAGCACATGTAACACTGATTGATGGATACTGCAAGCGAAGACACCAGTGGAAAATTAACTCCAACCAAGCACCAAAACTGGGACAGGTTTTTTGTGTTCCTTGCTCCTACTTTAGAAAACTACGCAAGAACGGTCAGAATTTCAGGAAAGGATCGTTCCAGCTACTGTCACAGATCTGGGTCAACAGCAGGGTAACAGGTGACCTGTAACTGATGCCTATAACCTGGTTAGGATAAGCATTTCCTCTTATCTCTTTGTTGTGGTTTATAATGAATGATATTCTGGGCTGAAGGGTGCTTATTCTCCCTGATTACCAGAAGGTTCAACACTCACTACACGGCTACGCCGATGGAGTGGCACTTCTGAGTGCAGTTCTCAGAGAGGACATCTGAAGAGAACACAATACACCAAACCCTTTTTCTAAACACAGAATAAATGATTTTGCTTTGGGGTCCTGTTTCTGAGACACTTTTTACAATTTTCGTTTTTACTGACGTGACTCTTCTCTCCAGGTTTACATTAAATGGATAACAGGTTCTTCCTTCACCATCATCACTCTCTTATGAGTCACAAGAGACTTTTTCAGCTCTTACCAACTTTACCATGGGAGAAGAGAGCAGGCTGGACAAATCTGAGGCAGCACATCAGCACACAAATTACCACAGGATGTCTGGTATTAAGGTAACCCAGCCTAGCACGTGCCTTCCCTTAACTTTAATGTTTTTCTGCTTGGCTGTGCAACTAAACCTCGAGGAAGAAGACAGGTGCAAGCAAATGCACATGCTACTTTCGTTTTACAATCTTCCCACTTCCTCCCTTAATAACTGAGGGTTTGGGGTGCTAGAAACAAGAAGCCTTATGACAAATGTGCAATGAGACCCTGAGCTAACAGGTTAGCTGACATGGAACTGTTAACAGTGAATTGGCTTGGAGACAGTGGGGGGGGAGGGAAAAATAAAAAGGGGAGACAGAGTGAGAGAGACAGACAGCAACCAATTGAGCTGCAAGAAATCAAGCTAAATCAGTCCCAAGTGCCCATGTTGGAGAGACTTGATCTCATACCTTGCTTGTTATCAAGGCACTCCTGATACGAGTCAGCTCCAGTTCCGTTGCGGTCTACAGACAAAACAAAAAGTTTCATTCATATCAAACATAAATATCAGAAACTTCTCAAATGGCAGCCGTGCTGGAGCAACACGTTACGTGCAAACAGTGCTAGTGCTTTTGGAGGCCAGGCTGGTTCGCTGACAGAACCTGTGACTGGTCACAAACAGGCTACAACAGACTGACACAACCCACGGTGAGAAAATTCTTCTAGTCTGGGCCAGTGCTTTGCTCCCAGCCCTGCCCATCTGTCTCCACACTGCTGAGGGCACAGGGAAGGGGAGAAGAGCCACAGCTGCCCTGAGCAAGTTCCTTAAGCACATGGAAGTTAAATGCACAGTTGCACTGTTCTCTGTAGGCTCTATGAAGGCGCTGGTTTGAACCAGCGGAACGCAAACTACCGAACAGACTTCTCCGGGTTCTGTGGTCCCGTTTGCTTTTTGGTTGCTACATGGTATTAAAGACAACCGAAAAGACAAGAACATACTTTCCAAACATTACTTTTCCATGGAAGCAATGTTACTGTAGTTACTGTTGGGGTTATCTGACCCAGCAGCAGGAGAGCAGCCGGTCTGTGCCACAAAAATGGGCAGAAGCTGAGGCTCCTGTACTCTGAGTGCTCCACACCAGGAACAAACCAGACAGCTCCCAAACACGGGTGTGGTCATGCAAGTGGCCTCTCACATCCAGCATGGGCATCACCTAACAAAACCCTTCATCTGCACTAGAGGTTTAATTATATCTCCCTGCCTGAGCGTAAAAATGGTTTAACCTGCAGGTTTGCATAATCGGGTTACAGTGTGGCTTGGGCCTCAAAAGCAAACCAAAGAATGTTCCAGCATGGCTTCTGCTCCTGGCTTTACAATTCAGTTCAACCACAAAAACTGTCAGGATGGTCCTTGAGAAAAAGATGTTAAATACATCTGTAAACCCTGGATAAACAAATATCCTTTCAGCAGCTCACATGTACCTTACACACCTTTCTACCTATAAGGAGTAGAGCAACTGAGCCCACCAGACAGGTGTGTGCACAACCTCAAAAAGTGACATTTTGTAAAGTGACATTTTGTACATCACACATCTAAGAATGCACATGGTGCTAAAATCAGCCCTGTTGTTTAACTACCAAACCATTTGATCAGGTCACCCGTGGCATGTACTCCTACCATACCAACTCCAATGGCACTGGACACAGTTTTATCCATGTGGTGATCACAGCTAATAAAGAAGCCACTCATCTAGGCTGAACTGGGTGGCCAAGGCATCCTGTAACAGCATTTCAGCCTCACCATCGAGAGAATCAGAACAGCAGCAATGTGTTAATTTCTTTGTAAAGATGCTGTTCAGAGCCCGAAGTTTATAAATATTGTTCACAACAGGAAAAACAGACGTCCAGGAGAACCTTCCCACCCAGGCACCTGCAAACAAATGCATTTCTGTCCCTCCAACAAGCCACTGGTCCCTGACTATGAGGGCTTTCTGGCATTGCTCACGTGTGGCAAACACATTCCCACATCAGCTGCCCTTTCATCTTTGCTCAACCATGAGCTGGTGATGGCTTCTTGAAGACTAAGAGATCCAGATCCAAGTTAAAAGGCCTCACATTTAGCAATAGTATTTAATGAACAAAGAAGCAAAAATTGAAGTTGCCCCAGTGTTTGTGTTGTGTAAATCACAGATAATAGATCTCCCTAATCCTAATGAGGCCTTCCTATTAAAATCTTTATTAGCTTTCAGCTCTGCAGATTGCCCAAAGGCTCATCAGTTTCCCTATCTCGCAGTACCAAGATCTGCTTTAACTTTTACAAATAGCTCTAAGATATTTCTCGGCTTATCAGCATTGCCAAGCAGCCTGTCTTATCATTACTATTGCAGATAAAATAAATGAGCTCACGATGATATGAATAATGGCATTTTCTGTAGGCTGGTTTCCCATTACATTTTCAACAGATTGTAGATTTAAACTTAAGCACAAAAGAAAAAAAAAAGGAAGCTGGGGAGAGGTAAAGGGTGGCTATTTTTTCCTTCCCATTTACCTTCAGTGTCTCAGAGCTCAGGCTGCGTTTTTAAGCTCACCTGATGAGAGCTAGTAATTACTTTTGAAAGGGAGCAGAAACACCTCAGCTCTGCTTTCTCTGAAGACCAAAAGCCCAGTTACTTCTGGGATGTTTTTTCAGCTGCATTTGCTGGAGAGAAGCAAGGGCTAAACCGCGCTCAGCCTAATGAAGCCATCTTCATTAGCTTGCTCCCTTCCCCAGCAGCCCAGGAACACCAGTCAGATTGGGAATTGAAATCATGAAAAGCAACAGAACTGCATTTGAATTAAAAGGCTAAGCTACAAAGGTCTCCGACGGCTGCTCCGGGCTGATTAGCACGAGGCGCGTGTGGCACCATTGCGGCACAGAGCGAGTTTTCCGGAGCACGTTCCTGGATAAAGGCAGCGCGGCCGCGGGAGACGGGGAGGCTGCAGGACTGACACGGCTCTGCCTTTCCCTCCCGGCGAGCAGGGAGGTCATGTTCTGGCAACCATTTTCTGCCTGGGCCCCGCAGCAATCACTACAGGGTTAAACGCTTTTCCGCTCCCCAAATTCCTCGCCCTGTCACTGTATCAAGGTTATCTATTATTGGCAGTGACAGGTGAAAATTAATCTCCTAATTATTTCTTGCTGCGTAATCTGCACTGAAGGAGTAACGTAAAAGGATTACAGTACACCCTCTACGGAAGGCTTTGCTAGAGAGCCAATCATCCAGGGAGATAGAGGGGATGTGGGAAAGAGATATTTATGACAGATTTCCAACCATTTTGAAGGCAGACTGTGCTATAACTTTATAACCTACAGCTCTGGAGTGAGGATGTTCTTGCAGGTATCTTAACAGCCTAAATGCTTTTTATTGTTGATTCTTCCAGGAAAAAAACCTCCAAGATTTATACCCATCATGACCCGTCGCAAAAAATGTATCCAGCCTGCTTCCACTCAGAAATCTTGTAGCTACCTTCCACAGCAATTTCACTGCAACATTTTTTCCACGAGATCACGAGCTAGACTGAGTACTTTCAAAAATAAAAGTATTTTTTTAAAAAACTTCATTTTGTAAGCAAGCTAGAAATATCTTTGGTAACAACACAAACAGGCACCTTGAAATGCTGGTTTTGTGTAAACTCTAATTCTCCTCCTACTATTCACCAGAAAGTAAGGTTTATTTTTACAGTATTAAAGAATCCCCATTTTATTTATCTTTAACCCTTTCCACGCAGCCATATAAGGTACAAATGGATGATCTGGAGAACCTATTTTTCTATGTCCATGTCAACAGCACCATCCTAGTTGAAGTTTACAAGAACAAGCAATCACAGGTGGTGTTTCAAATTACATTGGCTACCTTGAATGATGCTGTTGTGCTAACCCATGCCTTGAGATGGTTAATGCAGGGGGTCACCCTGAAACCCTGGCAGGTAAGGGGACAGGGCAGCAAGGAAGATCACAACCCGCAATCAAGTCCTGCCACCAGCATCAGTCACATTTATTTTCCATTTCCTTGATGGCAACCTTTTCTAGACGGTGCAGAAACGCGACCAGTTCCTTTATGCAAACTCTCAGTGCCCAAATCCAACGCCACGTCCCCCCTCGCTGGACAGCCAAGCCCTGACACGAACTCTGACAGGGGTCAGAGTTAACCGGCCACCGCTCGCGTTCCCAGTGGCCGGGATGTCCCAGCGGAGCCCGCCCCGGGTGAAGCGGGACAGTGTGAGCGAGGCATCCGAGCGAAGGACCCAGGACGGAGGAGCGGGGTGGGCCGTGCCGGAGCGCAGTGCGGCGCCCGCGGCACGCGGTGCAGCGCGCACAGAGCAGCGGCGAAGCGCTCCCGCTCCGCGGCGCGGGGCCGCGCCAGGCGCGCTCCGAGCGCAGCGCGGGCCGCCCGTCAGGGTCACTGCCGCTCCGCGCAGCTGGGACCGCGCACGGGAGGCACCCGCCGGGCTGGAACGCGTTTGCAGCTCCAGGGACAGGAGCCGGACTGAGCCGCCCCAAAGGCCGCTGAAAGCACCGGCGCTCGGGTTTTTAAACGAGCAGCTCAAATTCGGCGAATTCCCCAGCAGTGACAGAGGTGTTAAGGTTGTTCGCCTTCCCCTCTGTTGGTTTTAACACCTCTGGGCCAGGCGCTGTGGCCGCCCGGCTCCCGGAGCCTCCCGGACTGCGAGCATCGACAGTGCTGAAGGGCAGCTGTGCGGAAATGAATGATTTTCCTCTTCTAGGCAACTGCTACTAAAAAACTAAGGCTGTATTTCAGTAATTTTTAACAAGCGCCTGCTTCTCCATCCGAAAGGCAGCTCCTAAGTGATCCTTAGGATATCACAAGGACTCTGAAAACACATAATCAGCTACTAAGTTTCACTGAATCCACACATCACCTATATACATTTCTATATATTCCATTCGCACCAGCACGAAGATAAGACAATTCGTGTTTACATCATTGAGGCTAGAGATTTTCTTCTCCTCAGGACCTATTTTCAACAAATAAACAGAAATAATTTAACAAAGCCTAGACGAGAACATAAGCTCTTAATGGTTTACCCTTGGAGTTAAGTAAATGAGGAAATTATTCACTGGCATCTCTCATTTTGTGGACGTTTCAATCCTACTATAGTTACCTGATCTCTTGCATAGTAGTTATGAGAACAAAAGAAATGTGTATAGAGGCAAAGCACCCACCTACTAACATATCAGTGCTACTTCTAACAAGCCTGTTTTCCAGTAATATGTTTTCCTTATGGAAATCTGAAGAACAAATTCCTATCCATAGGCATTTTCCCCAAATGCTCCATCATCAACCTCATTATGCGATACAGAAATTCTCCCAAGGGATATTATGTAATGGCAATCCCTCCTTCCTCCCCCTAAGGAGCATATTTCTCATTACATCTCCTAGTAATTGATCAGTCTAGGAAATAATTTCTGGTAAAACCATATGTTTCTTTACCTAGTTTAGAAATTCCATCTTTATTCAGAAGG